GGACGGACGGACAGATAGATAGATAGATAGATAGATAGATAGATAAAATTGAAAAAGATTTGCTTTTGAAATGTGTGCCTGTTTTGCTTTTATTATTATTATTATTATTATTATTATTATTATTATTATTATCACTACTACTACTACTACTATTTTATATTATTATTTTATAAATGTGTTTCAATATATTGTTATGCAATGACGTCCATACATCGTCTGTGGCACTTTATGTGGTCAGTGTAGATGACAAATGAAAAGGTTTGGTGTTAGAGAGCACTCTGAATTACCACCATCCATGTCAGCACGTGTAATAAAGCTAACAGCAATATTACCGCAGCAGGACTCGACCTATGACCGGCGCTGATACTCCACCGTCCGCTCACAGCTACTGACTGACGCACACACAACAACACACACCCGGAAAACACCCGCTGTTCATCATGGAGCGAAAAGTGGCGAGGGAATTTCGGCATAAGGTGGGCTTTGAAACTGCTACTGTCTAATGTAAACCGTGTTAATTGTTTTGTTAGCATTATTAGTTATTATTAGTCTCGTTCTTTGGATCTCGCTGCTCGGGAATGGCGAAGGAGCACGCATCCTTCATTTTGACGCTATAAAATATTACTAAAGTAAGTCAAGTTAATATTCGCCCAGCTTTCGACACGAAAAGTATTTCTGTATCCATGAAAGAAACCGTCGTTATTTGATCAGTTAAGTTTGTTTTGCACTGAAAAGGTGTCCACACCTAGCACCATATGTCAGTCTTCAGCTCTGTGGTGTTTTAGACGTTTTTATCATTACAGTTAACATTACTAGTATAGCTTAATAATTTCGAAGTAATGGCATATTTAGCCAAATTTGATCGCTTTACTTAATTTACATGTAGAAAGGTAGGCTATATGTGACGTCACATAATGTACGCGTTCTAATTGGCTGAGCAGGTGACAGGTGTAGGCTACTGTGTGTGCTGGAAATTGTTGTACAATAGGTATTGATTACTTTTTTATCTCCTAAACTTAAGTTAAAACTTTGTTGTGGTTACATGTTTGATTACATTTTTAAGTTACACTGAATTATTTAATTCTGATACCTATTTATATGCTCATGCTTATTTGACAGGGGTCTATATGCTTATTATATATAGACCCCTGTGTGTAACTGTACCATCTGTTGTGTGGTGCATGGAGTTACACAATGGACAGTTTTTCACAGCATTAGCTGAAGTGGCAGAGATGTGTGGTCAGGCGGAAATGATTGCGGCATTTATTGTTCAGCTTGTTTTATTGCCTGTACTGTAGATGAGGGTGGGAAAGCTGTGCCACACTATAAATGATAAAGCTTTGCATTTAATTTTAGCTTCCCCTCTATGACAAATACATTATGCTGTCGACCTTTCTGTTCATTTGTCTCTTTCAAATCACTTAGCATAACCTGCAGAGGACATGAAGCTGATTTAAGTTACATATTTCTGCTTTCAGCATCAGTTTATGATGTTAAAGTCCAAAGGTGGACTGTCATCTAGGTGTATTAAAATGTTTATGACACCTTAAATGGCCTTTGAGCACACAGTCACTGTTTTATTATATGTGGCATGACACTGGTGGTGATATGGAACTATTTGGATATGCTTTTTATTTCCCCGCAATGTTCACATAGTTTACCGAATGATTCATTTATTATGAATATTTAAAAAAAATTTTAAGAATTAAAATGTTCACGTCATATGTAATTATTGTTAACACAAAATTAAAATACAAAAATAAAAACATTACTTTTATAAAAACACAAACTTTTTATTTGCATTTACATTTGACTTGTTTAATGTATTTGAATAATTAAATGTTGTTCTTGTTGTTTAGTTCATCCAAGCATGCGCAGATTTCTTTCTTTCTTTTTTCCTTTGTCTTTCTTTCTTTCTTTCTTTCTTTCTTTCATGCATGCATAATGCCCATTTTATCTACTTGTTTGTTTGTTTGTTTTTAGGCCATTTTATTTGTTTGTTTGTTTCATTCATCCATCTGTTTGTTTGTTCATTCAGTCTATTAAATGTATTTATTTGTTTGTTTTCAAGCCAATTTACAGTTTTTTACAATCATTTTTGCACTAATAACAGAACCTTCGTGTCATTTTTCAAAACTCTAGACACAAAACTCAAAACAGTCATTATTTGTAACACAGACTGTCCAATATTCAAAACGTTGTATATTGCGTTCATATCTTTAAAGAAGCCTTGCGTTTGCAGAAGCATTGGTTAAAAAAAACTCATTTAATATGAAATACCATAGGAACATTACTTTAGATCACCCACACATAAGATACCCATAGTTTCACTGTGTAGAATCATTAAATATAGTTGTTCAAAACACATGATGCAGCTTTCATTATGGTTCTACACATTCATACATCATTGTAATAGACTAGAGAGAACAGTACAGACTGGAATCATTAAACAGAATTTGAATTTTGGATGGGCCTGAAACCATGATTGCTCTCAGTGCCGTTCCTAGGAATTCTGGGCCCATAGCACTGATTTTGCTATAGGGCCCCCTCAAAATCACGTTCAGTGGGTGGTGGTCGGGCCCCCCAGCAAACATCGTTCTGGGCCGCTCTCAACCGCTGGGCTCTCAATCTCTCCTCCATGTCATTGGCCAAGTTAAAGCCTGCCTCATCCAAAAATATGAATGGTTTTCATCAGCTTCCAGCTCTATCACCCTCTAAAAACAAATACTGATAACAATGATATAGAATTTTTTGGGATTTGTTTTCTCCCAACAACAGGAACTGATCAAACCTGAACATACTCAGTCCTCATACTCAGCTTCACTTTCATAATCTAAACATTTAATATTGTTCATAATTTTCCATATAAACTATGCTTCAAGAGTAATGGAACAGTCATGTAGCATTTTGAGCAGTTGTATCAATTGATAGTTAGATCATTGTAATGAAATGAATAGACGCTCAATTCAGATGTAATGTGTGCGTTGCATTTTGAAATAGTAATGCTTTGATGTTAAGTTGTGTCATTTTGAACCGGTGATTTTAGTTCAATGAACAAAAGATCTTTGGTTCATGTGTATTGTATTCAAGCATTTGGAAAAAAGTGTTAAGTGTTTTGAAAAATGTGCGTTTTGATCATCAGTTGTGATTTATGTGTCTAGAGTTTTGAAAAATGACATGAAGGTTCTGTTATTAGTGCAAACATGATTGTAAAAAAAAATGTATGTTTACTTTGTTCATCCATTCATTTTTGTTTGTTCATTCAGTCCATGTTATTTATTTATTCATTTATTTATTTTATTAATTTGTTTGTTTATCCAGCCATTTTATTTATTTGTTTTGTTCATTTATTTGTTTTCAAGCCATTTTATTTGTTTGTTTTGTTTATCTGTCTGTTTTTGTGTGTTCATTCAGTCCATCAAATGTATTTGTTTGTTTGTTTTCAAGCCATTTTATTTGTTTGTTTTGTTCATCCATTAATTTTTGTTTGTTCATTCAGTCAATGCTATTTATTTATTTATTTGGTTAATTTGTTTGTTTATCCAGCCATTTTATTTGTTTATTTGTTTTTGTTTTGTTCATTTATTTGTTTTCAAGCCATTTTATTTGTTTGTTTTGTTTATCTGTCTGTTTTTGTGATCATTCAGTCAATTAAATTTATTTATTTGTTTGTTTTCAAGCCATTTTATTTGTTTTTGTTCATCCGTTCATTTTTGTTTGTTCATTCAGTACATTAAATAAATGTATTATTCATTTTTGTTCATTCCTTTGTTTGTTTATCCAGCCATTTTATTTATTTGTTTCTTTTTGCTTTGTTAGTTTATTTGTTTGTCGGTCTGTTCATTCAGTCAATTCAATTTGTTAGTTTGTTAGTTTTTGTGTGTGTGTTTTTTTGTTTATCCAACCATTTTGTTTGTCTGTTCGTTCATTCAACCCATTCAACTTATTTGTTTGTCCAGCCATTTGTTTGTTTGTTTGTTCAATTTATTTATTTATTTTATTTATTTAGAAATCAAAACGTTTGGCTTTTAGCATGCTAACCCCACATTACATTAACTTCTTTAACATTCTTATGATAATAATGCACCAACACTCTTATGTAAGGTGACACTGCTAGCATGATAAACATCTTTATCTGAGCTCAGGATCATTAACAGGTCCAGTGGAGCAGATCTGAACTAATGATACTCACAATACATGAAAAGATCCACCTGACCTATTCAACTAAAAACACCAGCAGACCCAACCAATCTGAGAGACGCTTGACTTACAGACACACAATAGTGCCCCCACCTCCTCTCTCTCTGTCTCAGCCTCTCCTCCTCACTCCACCTTCTCCTGACCTTCTGTCTTAGTCTCTCACTCAGTGAGAGAGAGATGTGTTACATCATTGACTGGCCAAAACGCTTCCTCAAAACATTTCTACAGCAGATTAGCCACCATCAGGTAACAGATGGGCATATGATTGGTTTTCTGATTGTTATTGATGATCTGATCAGAGGTTTGTGTGTTTGTGTTGTTCAGGTGGAGCTGCTGATTGATAATGAAGCAGAGAAGGACTATCTGTATGATGTTCTCCGCATGTACCACCAGTGAGTACACTCTAAAATAATTATTTATTTATTTGTTCGTTTGTTTGTGTTGTTGTTATCTAAAATAAATAAATAATAGTTGTTATTATTGTTGTTGTTAATATATATATATATATATATATTATTAGCTGCATAGGCCAAACAAAATGCAAAATGGCAAAATGGTTAGCAATTTGTATTACTGTTGCTCATGTTAGGGTTAGCAATATAAACACACTACCTAGAAACCACTAGAACAACCTAGCAACCAGAAAATTTAAAAGTAGTTATTTTATCACAGTTCGCAGATATTGCACATTTCTTGATTAAAAGGACATTTTTTTATAATTTGCTAAGAATATAAACGGTGTTCAAAGGTCTCAGCAGCAGTAGTGTGTACTGGAGTTTTAGAGGCTGATAAATAATGTAATTTTCCATCAGTGGTTCTGGTAATCTGTTGATCAAATGAAAGCTGCATGGCACATTCAAAAAGACAAAAGTATTCAGTGTCAGTTAAGTGTAAGAATAGCAAATGCTGAATGCATTACCTCGGCTCTTTATTTGTGATCTTATGTGTAAATCAACATGTCATTGCTCCGCTGGACTGCAGTAAGAGGCTTAATCCAGTGGAAAAGTAACTTGGATCAGATAATTTCCACTGTCTTCCCTGCGTTCAAGGGCAGCCATTCTCTCGCGTCCCTTTGTCTCTGATATCTGAGTCAGGAGTGAAATATCAATGATTCATAGAGCAACTGCCTCCAAATTCATAAGCTGACTTTATGTGGGTATATAGTGTCATTTTCCACAACAAGCAACATATCAGACTATTTTTGAAATAATTCATGTAAGGTAATCATAAAAAAATCACAGCAAAAACGTATATATACATGTATAATGCCATTGATGCCATTTATTGTATAATGTGTGCGCGTGTGTGTGTGTGTGTATATATATATATATATATATATATATATATATATACGTACACACAATTTATATCACCTATTTGAATTGACAAATATTGGATGAATATAGCGTCAGGGCTTTTTTTTATTCAAATAGTAAATTGTCCAACTTTCTATGCCAGGTTACAAAAGGACATTTAAGATTTAAATAAATAATTTTTTAATTTATATCATTATTAACTTTCATGATACAGTGATAGGAATGAGGCTGTATTTTGCATTAAAGTATTGAGAACTGGTGGTAAAATATTTTATATATATTTTTATAAAATCCCAAATTATTTTATTTAATTATTTTTTATTTTATTTTATTTTATTTTATTTTATTATTTATTTATTTATTTTATTAATAATGACAACAGTCATTATTTTTGCAATTCTGTTTGGTGGTACAGAATTTAGACACTTCATCATTAAACCTAACCTTATTCTATGAACATGTCCTATGTTTTATGTTCATGATCATTTAACTTTATAGAATATATTAAATAATGATTGAATAACAGAGATTCAGTATCAAGACAGTATGTTGAATCAGTGTAGTCTAAGAAAAGTTATTTTAATCCACAAACTGTTTGTACTGTTTTAATGTTGCCCTCCTGCTTGCATGTGCTCAATGAGGTCCTGTTTAAATCACTCTGCTCTGCCCTTATAGATCCATGGACATTCCTGTCCTGGTCGGCGACCTGAAGCTGGTGATAAATGAGCCCAAACGCCTTCCGCTGTTTGATGCCATCAGACCCCTGATTCCTCTGAAGCACCAGGTGCAGTACGACCAGCTCACGCCCAAGAGATCCAGGTGAGAGAGGAAACCAGGAACACAGACGATAATGAGGCGATAAAAAGGGGTTGATAGGCTGTGCTGCTTCTGAGAAGTATGGACATGTTTCTGTGCATGAATAGCAGAGGAATAAAGACAGGGAGAAAGAGGACATTGGAAATGAGAGGAGGAGGTAGAATGACAGCACCGCTCTCATCTCCAAAGAGAATCATTGTTTTCTCTCATGCTCAGTCAGACGTGAGAGGAGCACTACTCAACCGTGTCTGATGCACAGCGCTAATAGGGCCACAGTGAACTGGATTCTGTTTCCTCTCATTGTGTCTTTTGTCTTTCTCAGAGAATTGTATTTTTATTATATACATCTAGGTTATTATAGTTAACTAAATAATGAAACTGAAACCATGCCATTATTTTGTCCTCTTTTGTTATGAGCAGGAAGTTGAAGGAAGTCCGTCTGGATCGCACACATCCTGAGGGTCTGCGGGACTTCGCGGATCCCGAAAAGGACATAGGGGAGCATCAGGTCCCAGTCACGTTTATCGTCCCAGTCGCGTTTATCCTCCGCGACCACCTGTCTCAACATCTGCTTGAGCATTTGATTGAAGCGTTCGACCAGTCCGTTGGTCTGGGGATGGTAGACAGTGGTCCTCAACTGCTTCACCCGCAACAGCCGGCAGAGGTCAGCCATCAGCCGGGACATAAAGGGGGTCCCCTGGTCGGTCAGGATCTCTGCTGGGATGCCGACTCGGCTGGAGAGCAGGAAGAGTTCCTGGGCAATGGCTTTGGCGTTGGCTTTTCGGAGGGGCACTGCCTCAGGGTACCGGGTGGCATAATCGACGATCACCAGGATGTGTTCATGTCCCCGGGCAGACTTAGGCAACGGCCCCACAAGGTCCATCCCGATGCGCTCGAAGGGCACCTCGATGATGGGCAGCGGTATCAGCGGACTGGGGGGAGGCGTCCTGGGTGACGTCACTTGGCAGGTCGGGCAGGCTTGGCAGAACCGCTTCACTTCGGCCTCCAAGCCCGGCCAGTGGAAGCGGTCGCGGATCCGTTGGATGGTGTTCCCGGCTCCGAGATGCCCTGCCAAGGGATGTCAACGATTTGTTGCTGGCGGATGCTAACCTCGGTGAGCCGCTGGAGGATTTCGTCCATGTTGGGGGAGGAGCGCTCGCCTGTGACAGAACCCGGAGACAAAGAAACAAGGGAAAGGTGAGGTGAAGAAAATCACTTGTCGGTGATTCTTCACTGAAATGCCCGCATTCTCCACCAATGTAACGGGGTGAAGAATCACACGACAAGGAAATCTTAATAAATGCCCCGGAGGGTGGATTTATTAGTGAGGTGGGTGGTAGGGAGAAAGGTCCAGGTAGGTGCTCCGGTGCCGTGAGTGCTCTCTTCCGTCTTCCCAGTGCAGGGGGTCCGTGCAGTGCTCCTGTGGGGCTGGTCGGTCACACGCTGCTGTCTGTGGGAGAAATGAGAGGGCGAGTTAGTGCTTAGTCTCATGGAGAAGTCTCCCAGATGGCAGGGCTTGCGTGGCTTATGTGGCCGCCGCCTGATGAGCTGCAGCTGTGACCGATCAGCCTGTGATGAGGACGGCCAGGTGCTCCTCGCTCGTTTCCAGGGCGACGCTGATGCAGCTTCGGGACGCTCGTCACAGTATATAAAAAGCATTGCTTTCACTGTTTCAGCAAATAATGTCCCGTGCACCACTTTTGTGTGTTGTTGCTTCGTTGAAAATGTTAACCCAAAGTACGCACTATCTTGTTTTATATTAAATATCTGACAACAGATAATGTTAAAGGGGGCTTGTAACACTCCAAAGAGAAAGGAAAACTTGAAATCGCATCATATGACCCCTTTAAACATTCGAATTAATGAGTAATTTACAATGGCTGCACAAAAAACATGACTTCTCTCCACTAGGGGGCGCAATAAGCCATCCTCTGATTCCAAACACACTTTACTTGTCCATTACTGTAATCTTCATGATTAATGTTTGTCGTGCAGATATAGTCAAATAATTCAAATGCAGCCCTCGTGTTTCGAGTGCAAAATGTGTCTATTCTGGCTATAATGAAATTGTTACTGGTATTTTTAGTACTAAATATTTATAAAAATGTTAAATGACATATTTTACATATTTTATATGAATGTGGTTTGCTGTGTTTTCTTCAGGTTGGCGATGAGATTGTGCGTATTAATGGCTACTCCATCTCCTCCTGCATTCATGAGGAGGTCATCAATCTCATTAAGACCAAGAAGATTGTGTCTCTTAAAGTCCGCCGTAAGATTTTACAGTTTTCTATTGTCATTTGCAGAGCTGAATTTATTAGTTAGAGCACAAATGAATTGCCTCTAATTCCGCTGGGCTTAATTGATTTAGCTCTTAGTTGCAGTGATTTAATTACAGTTGATTCACAGTTGAGAAATCAGTCTTCCTTCAGAGAATTAATTATTGGGATTGCCATTAGCTAACTATATTAATTATTCATTATTTATTTATGTTTTTTAATTATTGCCATTGTGACACTCTCTTCACAGACGTGGGAATGATTCCTGTCAAGAGGTAATTTAGTTAGTAATTATACAGTATTCTCTGATATGTGGAATAGCTTTTATTAATGTTCTCTCTTTCCATAATGATATTGTTAAATTATACATTTGCCATAATCAGCTCCTCTGAAGACCCTCTGAAGTGGCAGTTTGTGGATCAGTTTGTGTCTGAATCAGGGGTAAGAGTTTCCTCCTCGCGGCATCCTATTTTAAAGCAGCTCAAGTTGTTTTTTTATTTAGTCCTGCTTTATTGTTTTGTCTCAGGAGAAAAAGACTAGTGTGGCTGGTTTGGCTTCGGTTGGAGGGAAAGAAATCAAGGAAAAGAAAGTTTTCCTTAGTTTGGTGGGCACCAAAGGCATGGGAATCAGGTAAGAGAGAGACTGGTTTATTATAACTATATACACAACTACAGCACACAGAATTAACTAAATTGAAAATTATAATAAAAACCTTTATTTATTGTAATTGTGCCCCCAAATATGAAGTACACTGCATTTGTCTTTGTACTGAAATGCTGTTGTTTCTTTGGTGTCTTCACAAAAGCCTACTTTGAAAGCTACTTTAATTAGCTTAATCTTGTGACAAAGAATGAATTCCTAAATATGTCTCTTGACTGTGCGTTATAGCATATCTAGTGGACCAACACAGAAACCAGGCATCTATGTGAGCAATGTGAAGCCGGGTTCAGTCTCAGCTGAAGTGGGCTTACAGGTCATTTCATTTAAGTCCCAGATTGAACTGCATTAACAGACCATTACTGTTTGATTTTAGCATAGTAACTCTCTACTATGTGTGTGTGGTTGTAGGCTGGTGACCAGATTGTGGAGGTCAATGGGGTGGATTTCACCAACCTGAGTCATCATGAAGTGAGCAGGATCTTGCTGAAAATGTCAAACAGCTAATTAAGAACCTCTGCATATTTAAACTGGTAACCGTGTTGGCTAATGTGTGTGTTTTCAGGCAGTGCGAGTGTTAAAGAGCAGCAGGAGTCTAACCATCACTGTCCTCACTGGAGCTGTAAGTTCACTGAGAGCCCACTAATACATTTCTGCCATCAGAACATCTCAAAGACCCACCGCAATGCTTTTATCTCTCCTTGAGGGGCTGTATGGAAAAGAAAACCATTTGCTTAGTATAAAGCTGTTTTAACTGACAGCTGTATATGAGGGCAATACGTTGTGGAGATGTTGCTTGTATTGTACTGTATTCCTCTTCATTTTTTTATTGGTGTGTTTGTCTTTAAATGGTACTTTTGCACTTCAGAGATGGTAATAATGAAGGAGTTTCACAACATAAGCTTTTTTGCTTCACATCTGTGATCTGTAGAAGATATAATGGATTGTACGGGTGTATTTGTGCACATATTTCTGTGAAAGTATTGATTTGTCTACTGTATGTTTCAGGGAAGAGAGCTGTTTATGACGGATGAGGAGCGGCTGGCGGCTGAAGCTCGTCGTGAGCTTGAAAGACAAGAGCTAATGCATCAGAAGAGAGTGGCATTAGAGACCAACAAAGTCATCAAAGAACAGCAGGAGAAAGAGCGCCAGTCAGTGAAAAAAAAACATACACAAGCAGATAAAGCTACTTTACATTGATGCATAATTTCTTAAAATGTACCTTTTATTATAAAAATATTGGGTACTGTTCTCTTGTGGTTAAAACAAAAATAAGTATCCACTTTATAATGGTTTTCATTATCATTAAAATACATCTTTACATTACATAATGTATCTATATGTACTTTCATGATGTTAGTTATCTGATGAATTGTCACCGCTGATGAAAAGGTGACAGATAATTAAAATTCCTGCATTAAATCTGCATGAAAATGTTCATATGTGCAATATTTTGCAGGCGGAAGATGGAGGTATCACAGAAGACTGCAGAGGAAGAAGAACGCTATCGCAAAGAGATGGAGAGGTAACACGTGTAATGTTGCCAAGCAAAAACATCTTCAAAGTAAATAGACCTCAGAAGGCAGAGTAGAGCAAATTGATGTTGATGAAAGCAGAGCTGTGAGGAATGGAAGTACAGATTGTTCTATATGTACTATACTGTAGGTCTAGTTTTCACAGCCTATTGGTTTTGGTCCAGTGGAAATGCGTTAAAATTTGTTGTATAATAAAGATGACAGTGAGAAAATTCAATTTGAACAAATTAAATTTATTGTTAAATGCAAAAGAGGTCAACTTCTTGTCATTTTTGTTGAGTGTTTTGATGTTTATTCCAAATATATATATCGCCTCAGAAATTATTTAGCAGGTTTGTCAGGATAGATGCCCATTGAATGTATGTGTCGTGTGTATCAGAATTGAAGCCGCGGAAAAGAAGCACCACAAAGAGTGGGAAGAAGATTGGGGTTCCAAGGAAAAATCCAAATCTCCTTCCCCCTCCCCCTCTCCCTCACCCCCACCACCTGCACGTAATGCACCTTCACCCAAACCCAAAACCTCCAGTAAGTTGACAATACCTACAAAACATCTCCATGAACTTTGAACGCCTCTGTAGAACTACATTATTCTCTAAAGATCAAACAACATGTTACCCTTTCCCAAAAGGTACCCATAATGCACTTTGCACTGATGTTGCTACTTTCTCCTCTGCATGAACAGATGTGCATTTATGTTGGGAATGCATCATCTCTTTGTGTGATCTTTGTCTTTCTGTCTGATCTTTTACCTTCTTGTTGTGCCTTGTTTATCAATTCCTGGTTCCATCAGCTGCTGAGTCCGATGAAGAAGAGATCGGAGAAGTAAGTAAAGAATTCAGATGGCTTTACAGACAAAGACTCCCTTTGACAAACTTACCCTTTTTCGAGACACTTCAACTGCATGTAGACTATCTTCCTTGTTATTTTGTTTGGTTGGATCTTTTGGTAGCTTTTAGATGGATGAATCTGCAGAATACACTATATCATGGTTGAGTTTTTGCATGGGACTTAATGTATCATTCTTACTCTCTTAGCGTTCGGTTGGTTCTACCGTTACGAAGGAAAGTTGCCTACACTCAAAAAGGTACTCTGTGTGTGCAAGCATGTTGTGCTGGTTTGGTGTGCTAGAACTATGGAATATGTTGTTCATCTTGGAGATATGCCCGAAGTTATGGTTTGCATGGAAGTTGGATTGACCTTGGTGCAAAGTCCACCAGGTGTTCTCAAATCACTTTGGATATTTAGAAAGGAAAAGAGACCAAAAAGAAGACGAAGATGTCCAAGACTGACACTCTCCCAGCTGAGAAAAAGAACAAGAAAGAGATGGAGTTTGAGCTGAAACTTGCAAAGGAGAAGGAAGAGATACTTGAGCGAGACAGACAGATGAAAATCAGCAGACTTCTTCAAGAGGTATCAGACTTTTTCCAGTGAGGTTACAGGATGTTTTTTTTGACTCAGATTGTACTCCTTGTTTAAAGGGTTAGTTCACCCAAAAATTAAAATTCTGTCATTAATTACTCACCCTCATGTCGTTCCAAACCAGTAAGACCTTCCTTCATCTTCGAATCACAAATTAAGATATTTTTTAGCGTTATTTTTAGCGTTGTTTGTTCAGTAGAATGCTGAACGTAAACAACGCTGATTACGTTTTGGGGTACTCTCCAAAATGGCGGAAGACATTAACTCGGGGAGAAGAATTGTTGAATAAGTTATGTTATTATTGTTTTCTTTGCGCACAAAAAGTATTCTCGTAGCTTCGTAAAATTACGGTTGAACCTCTGATGTCACATGGACTATTTTACCGATGTCCTTGCTACGTTTCTGTGCGTTGATCGTGGTAATATCCTTGCTGTCTATGGAGGGTCAGAGAGCTCTCAGATTCCATCAAAAATATCTTAATTTGGGTTCCGAAGATGAATGAAAGTCTTACGGGGTTGGAATGACATGAGGGTGAGTAATTAATGACAGAATTTTTCATTTTAGGGTGAATTATCCCTTTTTAATTGTGTGTAATTGATTCCGTCTCCTTGGCACTTGACCTTTATTGCACGAATGTACCCATGTGAACAGTTGTATCCTTTCCAGTGGCAGTCCAGCAAGTTCTCATTGGTATATCAAAGTTTCCATGTTTGGATGTGGCTTTACTAATTCAACCAGGTGTCAGAAACTGAGAGGGAAGATCTGGAAGAGTCGGAGAAGGTGCAGCATTGGGTGGAGAGGCTCTGTCAAACCAGATTAGAGCAAATCTCCTCAGTTGAAAATGATTCTTCAGAGGTAAAATCTATCCAGTTCAAATCCTGATGTGTGCTGGTCTTCTAGTCCATAGTTTGTTAATTCAGAGTTCTAAGCAATTAAAATGTAACTTCAGATGTCTCCAACCCGTTCCCCTGCACTACATTATTCTCTAAAGATCAAACAACATGTTACCCTTTCCCAAAAGGTACCCATAATGCACTTTGCACTGATGTTGCTACTTTCTCCTTTGCATGAACAGATGTGCATTTATGTTGGGAATGCATCATCTCTTTGTGTGATCTTTGTCTTTCTGTCTGATCTTTTACCTTCTTGTTGTGCCTTGTTTATCAATTCCTGGTTCCATCAGCTGCTGAGTCCGATGAAGAAGAGATCGGAGAAGTAAGTAAAGAATTCAGATGGCTTTACAGACAAAGACTCCCTTTGACAAACTTACCCTTTTTCGAGACACTTCAACTGCATGTAGACTATCTTCCTTGTTATTTTGTTTGGTTGGATCTTTTGGTAGCTTTTAGATGGATGAATCTGCAGAATACACCATATCATGGTTGAGTTTTTGCATGGGACTTAATGTATCATTCTTACTCTCTTAGCGTTCGGTTGGTTCTACCGTTACGAAGTGGTCTTCTAGTCCATAGTTTGTTAATTCAGAGTTCTAAGCAATTAAAATGTAACTTCAGATGTCTCCAACCCGTTCCCCTGCATCAACTGGTCCCACCAATCGGAGGTTCCCTGGAGGCTTGACCTTGGCCACTACTGACCTTGATGACATCAACTTAGATGATGTGGACCAGAGTCTAAGGCAACCTTTGAAAAGACTTTCCCCAACCCCACCTACATCCAACCAAGCTCCCCCTCCCTTACCACTCCCTCCACCCTCACCCCGTCTTTACCACACATCCAACCATCGCCCTCCTTCTCCAAGAACACAGCTCCCAATGCAACCCAGTCCTAGACCAGCCCCTCAACGCCCACCTTCTCCACCAGCCTCAAGGGTACCCCCTTCCTCAATAGGTCGTAGCCGACAACCTCCTGCCACCCCACTATTCTCCTCCAGGGGTCTGTCCACATCTCAGCCACCTCCCCCGCCACCACCTCCTCCCCCTCCACCACCACCGCCTCCTCCTCCACCACCTCCTCCACCCCTGCACATGGAGGACAAGTACCATGTAGGGTCATTCAACTATCCCCGCTCCCCAAGCTTATCCGAACAGGGAAGCAAAGAGACCAAAAAGAAGACGAAGATGTCCAAGACTGACACTCTCCCAGCTGAGAAAAAGAACAAGAAAGAGATGGAGTTTGAGCTGAAACTTGCAAAGGAGAAGGAAGAGATACTTGAGCGAGAAAAGCAGATGAAAATCAGCAGACTTCTTCAAGAGGTATCAGACTTTTTCCAGTGAGGTTACAGGATGTTTTTTTTGACTCAGATTGTACTCCTTGTTTAAAGGGTTAGTTCACCCAAAAATTAAAATTCTGTCATTAATTACTCACCCTCATGTCGTTCCAAACCAGTAAGACCTTCCTTCATCTTCGAATCACAAATTAAGATATTTTTTAGCGTTATTTTTAGCGTTGTTTGTTCAGTAGAATGCTGAACGTAAACAACGCTGATTACGTTTTGGGGTACTCTCCCCTCCTCCACCCCTGCACATGGAGGACAAGTACCATGTAGGGTCATTCAACTATCCCCGCTCCCCAAGCTTATCCGAACAGGGAAGCAGGTTTGGGGACAATGGTTACCGACAGAGAGGGGGCTTCCACTCCACCATTCCCAGTGATCTCTCACGCCCACCCAGCCCGAAGTCTGACCACAACCTGACGGTTAGCATAGTTAATGCATTTGGCAGTGTGAGAATTGATTATGTATGTTGTATAGGGGTGTGATTCTTTAGGCACATCACATTTCAATCCAATTCGATTCCAAAATTTATTCCATGTCACACGAATATTGCTGTCTTCACTGAAGTGAACACTGCAGTCTACCTGTTTTTTTTACCCACCTCTTATGTTGTACATACATGCGTGTATGCCTTGAGTGTGGTGTTTTGCAGATGAGGTTAACCATTATTAGTTTATTATCGTTGTTTGTCAGGAAACAGATAATCATTTTGGGAAAAAAGCATGCTGTCATTCGGTTTGATGATCTTGAAGTGGTAGTGATTCCTATCACTGTTAGACTGTTGAATACTTTATCCTTGTGGCACAGGTGATGAGAAACACATCTCATGCTAGCAGGATACCCACCTCTAATAATCCACTGGTGAGTCCTCAGTTTGTAAATGGTACATGCTGCTCTGGGTCTTCTGCTCCATTTTTAGCACCAATCAGACTTGCCATGCTTGTGTAATATCTCATTTAATGTCAGCTTAATGCAAACTAGCATCTCTTTGAAGAGGAAATATCTTCCAACAGCTCTCCATGTCTATATTTGGAGATTACTCTGGCACAACCTACAGGAAGTGCATTTCTAATTGAATATAGTTGGCACATATCTTATACGCTCTCAAAAAATAGGGTACTGTCACTGGGGCGGTACCATTACATTAGGTACCAATATGTGCACTTCAGGCACTAATATGTTCCTTTAAGGTACTAATATGTACCATTTAGGGGTAAATCTTTTTACCTGTTTTCTGGGATATGGGGGGGGGTTATAAAACCGTAACTCTTTTAACTGTTTTATAGATATGCATACCTCCTCTATGCATAGGATTTACTTGGGAAGTAATTAAATTTAAAAAGCCATTTCACAGAACAGTCATCATTACTAGAAAGATAATGACTGACATTTTGCATGAAAATCATCTTTTGTTGAACATGAAAGCTGCAATTCAGTATTTGTGCTATATGAACGGTTCCTAAAGTCTTGTGCTGTGTGGTTTAGATTGCGTAACTCTTGAAGGTAGATCGTGCCCTGACCTTAAGTTTGTGTCCCTTACTGCTAACCTCTACATAGCAAATTGCTCCCAGCCCTCCAAACCAGCGGAGACAGATCAACCCTGTCATGTCCAAACCCGTCATGCTACCAAGTCAGACCTCACATAGACCCACACTTCACTCTGAGACCATGGTAAGATGGCAAATACCCATGTGTGTACGTGCGATGATGATGCATGCATAAGATACTCATTGGTTGGATTGCTGTTTGACTCACTGATTATAATGAGTTTTTTTCAAACTCAAGAGGAACAAACAGATGTTGCTTTTACTGATTGCACTGATTAAGAAGGCGGAAACAGAAGGACAGAAGGGGAGAGAGGTGAAATGGAGATTTATTTTTTAAATCTGCGTACACAATGAGACTTTCAGCATTAAAATGTCTTTGATTGATCAACCTGACAGACCTAGACCTGCTGTCCCCTTCTTCCTCCAGATAGTCAGTCCTGCTCCATCACATCACAAAAGAAGCCAATCGCTCTGCCCTGTCCTTGTGCCTCCTTAATTAAATAAATGGGTGCTTGCCAATTTTGTGGTTGTTTTAGAGGGGTAACAAGAAGGGCAAGAAAGGACAAGACCTTGTTGCCTTAATGTGTCTCTTCAGCCTTTATTTATTATTGTTAAAGGTTTTTGCTGAGGCTCAGGGTTAGAGATTTGATCAAGATAACAGTTTTTTTTTTATCACTAGGATTCATTTCTCAATACTTAGGTCACCACACCTCACCTCACTTCACATAGTGAGCACAACAGACATCTATGTGGGCTAAACTGTGGACCATTTCCATTGCTTTGGTACAAAATACATTCAATTACTACATTTTTAAATTGCATAAATTGTCGACCTATGCTATTGTTATAGAAGATTAAATTGATGCGTATGAAGTGTTTTGGTAGTTGTAGTGCGTATTAGATATGAAATGTACTGCTATGAAAGTTGGTAAGGAGAACTGTGTGAAGAGTTTTGAAAAGTGACCAAAGTATTTGCCTAGTGATTATAAAAAATAATGTAACCTTTGCTAAAGCCTAATGATCTGTCTTAATGAAATGTACTGCTATGAAAGTTGGTAAGGAGAACTGTGTGAAGAGTTTTGAAAAAGTGACCAAAGTATTTGCCTAGTGATTATAAAAAATAATGTAACCTTTGCTAAAGCCTAATGATCTGTCTTATTTTTTTTCACGCTAAATATAAAGAACCATGTGTCCTTTCTCTCAAAGGATCCAATACTCTATCACCTCACCATCTTTACTGCACTCTATACAATGGGAAATCAGTGCAATCGGTGTATTTGTAAAGCTCACAGACACCTGAATTCATAGATAATTTACCACACTGCGGCAATTCTTTTATGGCATGTGATGAGTGCAAGCATTTAGTGTGTGTGTGTGTGCTGTGTTTTTAAGAGCCAGTCATAAATATGTGTGTTTCAGCCCCCAGAGATGCTCAAACGGATGGTCACGTACAACACGTCCTTTAAATCCAGCAAAAAACAAGTAACCGCCATCATTACTTAGAATTACAACACCTCTCTTTTCTTTGAGTGAAGTCTCAGCTGTTTGAGTGTGTATATTACATTTCTAACAATATTTCCCTGGAGGATATTAGTCAAATGTATCCTTGACGTAATTTAAAACTAGTTCCCTTTCAATACTCGCATTGTGTCAGTTGTTGATGCTTTGGGGAAACTCAATTTCTCTGAAATACTGAAGCTCAATTCAGTGTTCACTGAATCATGTTTATGCATGTGCATGAACAATTGGCTTTTCAGCCCACCAAAACAAGCGAAGCCATTCATTTATATAAGTTGGTGCTGGATGCCATTTCATCAGACTCTTTCTCCTTCAGTGCGAAGATCATCTCCTTGCTGACTCCAAAGACAAATAAGAATATGAAGAAGCCTTCCTGCTCGTCATGGAAGAGCCCCAGCAGCAGATTATGGCTCTGACTGCGGTCTCAGCTGAGTACAGCGCAAAAGGATTCCCTGGTACTGGTTTCCCACAAGGACCAGCGCCCCTCGTCATGTGGTCTATACGGCATGACTTAGTGGTTTTGGCCTTGTCAGCCTAAAACCTGACTCTTCTCGCCTTTAAGCAATTCTGCCCCAGTATGGGCTCTTAGCAGTTTATCTAGGGCCCTCATTCCCGACTGCCCATAGGCTGGGCTTGCAGGGTGGGTTCTTCATTCTGTGCTTGTAGCATGGCGCTATAGGATTGCATTCCCCAAAGTGTCAGCAACTGACGCAGTGCAAGTAAACTGTATTGAAAGGGAACCGAGATTACGTTACGTACCGAGTAGTGTAGATTTTATTCTGTTCTGTTCTGGTAAATGTCTACTTCATTTCTTGTGTTTAACATTTATGTTGTAAACATCTCTTTAAATACTCAAGGACATCAGGTGTATGATTGCAATATTGTGCTTATTTCGGTTAAGACATTATATTTTCACCTTTCCATGATACTGAACTGGTCTTTCAGTCACACTTATATATTCTCATGCAATCATACTAGTTTGCTGAAATCATACATCTTGTTTGCTGTGAAAGCAGCCTTTGAGTTGGATCTAATATGCACTGCACAAATGGGAGACTCCAACTGAAGGCTATATAATATTAGATTGCCTCTGCGCCAAATGGAATCTCGGTGTACGTTTTAATCTTTTATGAGGGAGAGCATGACTAGAAGTCTGTGTTTTTCCATTTTGTTGGTTCTGTGGGGGTTAAATCTTAATTGATTATTTGTCTTGATGGAATGCCAGTGGTTTTGAGTGTGTAGCGAATGGGGAAAAGCCTTTATATTGTATGTAAACATCATTGCAGATCCAGAACCAACTGGAAAGCTACCAATGGATCCAACAAAGCAAACACATCCTTTCTCAGTATTAAATATGTTTACCATGTCGTACAGTACTGTAGAAAATGATGCAATGTGTTGTACTGTTTCTAATATCATGCATGATACATCTGTTTATTGTCTTTATACAGTATATTGTTCAGATTTGTATTTAAAAAATAAAGTTGGTCACATATTTAATATATAAACATATTTCTAAAAAAAAAAAACTAAAAATTGATACTAAAAAAAAAAAACTTGTTTACATGTTAAATGTTTTAAAGTAACTGAGTGCACCTTTAAAGATCAGACATCTCCTTGCTGACTCCAAAGACAAATAAGAATATGAAGAAGCCTTCCTGCTCGTCATGGAAGAGCCCCAGCAGCAGATTATGGCTCTGACTGCGGTCTCAGCTGAGTACAGCGCAAAAGGATTCCCTGGTACTGGTTTCCCACAAGGACCAGCGCCCCTCGTCATGTGGTCTATACGGCATGACTTAGTGGTTTTGGCCTTGTCAGCCTAAAACCTGACTCTTCTCGCCTTTAAGCAATTCTGCCCCAGTATGGGCTCTTAGCAGTTTATCTAGGGCCCTCATTCCCGACTGCCCATAGGCTGGGCTTGCAGGGTGGGTTCTTCATTCTGTGCTTGTAGCATGGCGCTATAGGATTGCATTCCCCAAAGTGTCAGCAACTGACGCAGTGCAAGTAAACTGTATTGAAAGGGAACCGAGATTACGTTACGTACCGAGTAGTGTAGATTTTATTCTGTTCTGTTCTGGTAAATGTCTACTTCATTTCTTGTGTTTAACATTTATGTTGTAAACATCTCTTTAAATACTCAAGGACATCAGGTGTATGATTGCAATATTGTGCTTATTTCGGTTAAGACATTATATTTTCACCTTTCCATGATACTGAACTGGTCTTTCAGTCACACTTATATATTCTCATGCAATCATACTAGTTTGCTGAAATCATACATCTTGTTTGCTGTGAAAGCAGCCTTTGAGTGGATCTAATATGCACTGCACAAATGGGAGACTCCAACTGAAGGCTATATAATATTAGATTGCCTCTGCGCCAAATGGAATCTCGGTGTACGTTTTCATCTTTTATGAGGGAGAGCATGACTAGAAGTCTGTGTTTTTCCATTTTGTTGGTTCTGTGGGGGTTAAATCTTAATTGATTATTTGTCTTGATGGAATGCCAGTGGTTTTGAGTGTGTAGCGAATGGGGAAAAGCCTTTATATTGTATGTAAACATCATTGCAGATCCAGAACCAACTGGAAAGCTACCAATGGATCCAACAAAGCAAACACATCCTTTCTCAGTATTAAATATGTTTACCATGTCGTACAGTACTGTAGAAAATGATGCAATGTGTTGTACTGTTTCTAATATCATGCATGATACATCTGTTTATTGTCTTTATACAGTATATTGTTCAGATTTGTATTTAAAAAATAAAGTTGGTCACATATTTAATATATAAACATATTTCTAAAAAAAAAAAACTAAAAATTGATACTAAAAAAAACAAACTTGTTTACATGTTAAATGTTTTAAAGTAACTGAGTGCACCTTTAAAGATCAGATGCTTTTTATAGATTGATTTATTGGTCATGCCAAACTAATAAGGCATGTTTTTAAACACAGATCTGGCTTTGCCTTGAATAGTTTATTAAGAGTAAGTAGAAGCTGCCATTGATTGGTATAGAGGTGACAATTAGTGTTCATTTGTCTTCTCTTTGAAAACAAAGAGCACTAAGTTGTTTCTGCACAGTCCTCACTCCTCAGATTGCCACTTCACGTTTTTACAGACTACACACCACTGTCTGTTTCTGCTTTCTGTTTTACAGGGATTTCAAAAACATGTGGATGATTTTGATCCATATTCCATGGTACTGTAACTATTTACATTAACAGTTTGTCTCTGTACCCATTTGCTATTTTTATATTGCATAGCACATATATTCCACACTCACTAAATGCTCCTCTTTGGAGTATTCCTTTCACCACATTTGCTCAAACTTTTAACAGTTCACGGCTGAGGAGATAGCTGGCAGAGATGTACGACTTTTGAGAATTAAGAAGGTAATTTAGGTAGAACAGAAATGTGAGCCACATATGTCATTGGACATTAAAAATTAAAGATTTGTTTTATTCTATATGCATTCTTTAGGAAGGGAAGCTTGATCTAGCCATAGAGGGAGGAATCGACTCCCCATTGGGAAAGATTGTGGTGTCGTCCATCTATGAGGGAGGTGCGGCAGATAAACATGGTGAGTCATACAAACATAACGTATAATAGAGATTTGGGGCTAGGTTCTTTTGAATTTAAGGTTCTAGAAAACACCCCAAAAACCACAGCAACTGCTCAGAAACATTCTAAAACTGTCATGCAAATATCATGCAAAAATCTAGTTTAGCTCTCTACATTCATTAGTTATATTTATTATATTGACTTAAAAACATTTAGTTGTGTTTTAAAATTACCTGCTTTGTTTGTTACTGTTATTTTTTATACATGTTATCTCAGGTGGTGTCGTGTCAGGTGATGAGATCATGGCTGTGAATGGAAAGATCCTGACCGATGGGACTTTAGCTGAAGGACAAACCTCATTGGCTCAGGCCTGGAACAGTGGAGGGGTATGACCGGCATTACACTAAAACAACCTATCACTGTAAATCAGATGATCTGTCTCAACAGATTGTCCTGTGGTGAAGAAGGCCATACAGCTCATTGGAGCCAAATGGTTTGCATTCTCTGCAGTGAATGGGTGCCGACAGAATGAGAGACCAAACAGCTGATAAAAACACAATAATCTACAAGTAGTCCACACAATTTCAGTTCATCAATTAACATCTAATGAAGCAAAAAACTGTGTGTTTGTAAGAAACAAATCCAATATTAAGACATTTTTAACTTTAAACCGTTGCTTCTGGATAAAAAACAAGCTAAAATACTAATATTAGACTACTGTAATATGTCATTTTATCATAGCCCATGTGCTCTTTCCTTGTTCTTCAAGATTTTACAGAAGCATCTACACACCTGGGTGACAGTTTGTGACTAATTTACTTTTTGATGAATTGTATGAATTTGTTCATTTTTATACAATCTGTTTACACCCCAGTGAGTTTTTGGTTTAGGGTTGGACCTTCATGTTTAGTTTTTTGGTAAAAATTGTAGGAACTGACCACAAATTCACTAAAATGTAAAATTGTTACATTTTCCCACAAGATTGGGTTGGAAGAACACTGAAATGTCGTGATTTACAGTATGTATTTTACTGTTATCAATAACAAAGCTGCACAAGGATCTTATTATTGTTATTAGTGTTGAATTAGAAATGAACAATTTCAAAGTACAATGTCATGAATAGCACAATGTAGAATCTCTAAGGTCTTAATTGCACAATTAGAGTAATTACCGTAATTTCGACATGACAAATGCTACAAAATAAATTCTGCTGAATTATGTTAATTTTCCTACACCTTTGTTACAGAAATAGCGTGGCTGTAGTTATGCATTCATTTTTGATATTAGAACGTTAAAAGAGCATAACCTGTTGCAAATGAGTATTGAGTCTTAGAATTTATGTGGTTAATGTCTGCTATTTGTGTTCATATATTTTCTTTTTTTTTTTCTGGAAAATATGAATCACACATGGTCACACATGCTATAATGATATCTTCAGCAAGCATCATCAAATATAGATGAAGGCTTGAAAGAGAAATGCAGCAGAATGTAACAGGAACATTGTGCCTATCAAACATTAAAACCTTCATATGCATGTGCTTGACATTTTTCCATGCATGTTCTCGCAGGACTGGATTGACCTGGTCATCGCAGTGTCTCCACCGAAGGAATATGAAGATGAAGTGTACGTATAGTTGCATTGCTTCTTATAACATATGATATGTGACCGCACACAATGACAGCTCCAGTGTCCCCCACATTCAATTCATTTCAATGCATTATGTTGCTTGTCTCCTAACCCCCAATGAAAAAAAGCAATCAGTGGTGTAAATGGCTCTCAGTAGTGAACCTGCCATCTGCTGTATGTCTTCAGCCCTAAAACAGCATCAGTCAGACCCACTGCAAAGAAAAAGGTTTTCCAAGGCAGTGCCCCTGTGTACAGACAGGGCTACGTCCTTCAGATGAGGACCCCCCATGCACTAACCTGATCGCCACTAGCCCAGTGGTAAAAGCCCCCCAAACCCATCCATACCATTCTGCAGTGTGCATCATGTACATGTGACAATCTCTTTGTCAATCTAGAAACCCACCCAGATGTTTTCAGTTGGGGATTTCCTCTGCTAATGATTCAGTTATGCAATAGTCAATATTCTTGTTGACAAGGCTATGCAGTCGTTCTGATTGATGTTGTTCAAAGGGACTGTTACATGTCATGACTCGTGCATTGATTATTGCTGCTTTGATCGGTTTTGCTACTGCATGTTACTGTAAATGTCTATAGCACTACTGTTTATGGATTCATGAAAAGATACTGACTGCCATTGGTTCCCCAGAAACAATCTTTGAAACTAAAACAGTTGACGGATGAATACAGATGCTCATGAAAACAACATTTGTGTTTGAAAGCACTTATTGCTGCGCCACCGGTAATGGTGTGGTGGTTGCAGCAGATAGTAATTGTGCCTTTAAAAGGATAGTTCACCCAAAAATGCAATTCTGTTTTCATTTACTGACCTTCAAGTCATTCCAGACCCATAAGATTTTCATTCATCTTTGAAACACAAAAGGTGGATTTCTGTTTCCCCATTGAAAGTCCATTCCATTAAATGTCCATGAATCAAGCTGTTTAATCCAAGTCTTCTTAGGAGACACTATGTCATTATAAATGTATTTATTTGTGTTTTGAAGATGAATGAAAGTCTTATGGGTTTGGAATGACATGAGGGTGAATAAATGATGACAGAATTTTCATTTTTGGCTGAACTATTCTTTCGAGCATTTTTTTCAAATTCTGTGAACCAATGGAGTGACATATTCTTCTGTTTATTTATAGGTTTTATACATAGCAACCTGATAATTTAAGTCTGTTTCTTTACTATGTGTGCAACCTTGTTTTCTTCAACCCTTGTGTGAATGTGCGATACCAACCCTCTCTTAAATATCTGTCAGATGAATCTGATTTTTATATTTGTCACTCTTTTTACAGGACATTCTTTTAAAAACCCACCATTGCATCAGTACAACGGACCACAGGGAGAATCAATAGCCATTCCTTAGTAGTAATTTTGCAAAACGCAAATAATTTAGTATCTGTGTTGTAAATGAAGCAAATGCAGTTATTCACATCATTTATAAATGAGGCATCTGTGCTTTAGAATTTCTGTCTTTAGGCTATATTGTTGTAATTTGCAAAATAATAAACATGCATTAATAAAAATGTGTTTTTGCTTTGTTTTAAAGCCTTCTAATATGGTTTATCAAATGTGTTCTTCATTTCAAACCATAAAAAGGAGATTTTATTCTGTGATGACGACATCCTCAGCTGTCCTGATTGGCTCATTTTCTCTTGCAATATCTCCAACACCTGTCAAATGATTAGTGGTCACTTAGTAACTGTTTTGTAGGATTGCTATCAGTCAAGGGCAGTAATAAGGTCCTTTCAATTCAGTCTCAACCACTTGTATTTAAGTGCAGGGCCAAACAGAACCACTCTATAGTTTCTCAGTTCTGGTCATTCACACTGACAGCAGAGTGAAGTGACAAAAAACCTGCACTCATTCATTTTCAATGCGTGATTTCCGGCAACACAAACACTTGTGATGCTATTTGGCCATGTCCCAATAATCACACAAAACGTGCATTCATGCTGTACCATTTGAACCATTCCATTCAGGTTTCACTGCTAATCATAGCACTGAGTATGTGTTGCTGAAAGTCTCCAAGGATATTTTACTTGCAGTTGATTCTGGTAAAACTGCTGTATTGGTGTTGCAAGACCTTAACACTGCCTTTGATACCGTTGATCATAATATTCTTCTTTGGCGTTTAGAACATTTGATTGGTATCAAGGGCACTGCCTTGAGGTGGTTTAGTTCATATCTTAAAGGTCCTTTTCTGTTGGATAAGTTTGTCTTATCCTCAGTGCCTATTATTAATGGAGTACCTCAGGGCTCCATTTTGGGTCCGCTTCTTTTTTAACTTATTTATATTACCTTTTGGAAATGTTATTAGTTGGCACAATGTTTCTTTTCATTTTTATGCTGATGATACTCCGATTTATTTGCCGTTAAAATTTTAATAATAAAAGTATGTATTAATTTATTAATAAAAATGTAATAATAAATTTAATAAAATTTGTCGTTATTTGCCTAGAATCTCCATTCAACCTTTGTCTTGACCTTCAACATTTTCCTCAAGAACATTAAGAAATGGTTGTCAAATAACTTTCTCCAACTTGATGAAGACAAAATTGAAATTATCTTCGGTCCCCCAAAATTGAAAGGTAATCTTATTAGGGAGTTTTGTATTCATTTTCCTGTAATTTTTTCACAGGTAAGAAACTTGGTGTCATCTTGGATTCAGAATTTTGCTTAACCAAGCAAATCAATTATTTTGTTAAAAATAGTTTTTATCAATTACAAATTATTTCCAAACATAAACCATTTTTGTCTTTTAAAGATTTGGAGAAGTTTATTCACACTTTTATTACATCATGTTTAGACTACTGTAACTCATTGTATTTGGGTCTTCCTCATTCATCCCTTGTTCACATCCAGATGCTTCAGAATGCTGCTGCAAGCCTGTTGACCAGTGCAAAGGAATATGACCCTGTTACCCACATCAGTAGCATTGGTTCCTGGTCCATTTTAGGATTCAATTGAAAATTTTTTCCATTACCATTTTAAAAAATAGGCTGAAAGCATATCTTTATTCCCAGACACTTTAAGTTGTCCTATTGTTTTTATTATTTTATATTTTATGTTTATGTTTATCTCATTTTTTTATTCTGTTGGACTAGGGTTTTTCTCTGTTGAGCACTTTAAATGTGCTATATAAATAAAATTTACCCACTTTCTTACCAAGCAATACTGTTCTTAGTCTGAAAAATTTCAAAGCTTAGTATACCTATAAAACGTCTCAGGTTACATATGTAACCATGGTCCCCTGAGAAGGGAACGAGACACTGCGTCCTCTAGGGTCGCTATGGGGAACGCCTTCAGCGTGACCGGTGTCTGAAGCATATATCTAAAAAAGACAATGACATTGGCCGGCGACAGCCTATGACGTCATTACCCTGCACGATACAGTATAAAAGGGCGCCGAGATAACAGGTCATCCGCTTCTTCGTCTGAAGCTTGCGTCCGAAGCATGGCAAGGAAACTAGAGGACGCAGTGTCTCGTTCCCTTCTCAGGGAACCATGGTTACATACGTAACCTGAGACGTTCCTTTCCGAGGGAACTTCGAACTGCCTCTTCTAGGGTCACAATGGGGAATGGTATACCCACACCACCATGCTGAAGGGAGTGCATGCCAGAAAACCACGGCAAGCACTAATTACCAACTCTACCATAGCCATGGGAGTTGCCCCAAAGGACATCTTGATGGCTGTCAGTGACATTATCCCCTTTCGGCCAAGGGCCTGAGCTGCATACAATAAAATAACTTACCTGTTAAGGGCTGGGCTAGGAAGCCCAAGCCTAGGGCAGAGCTCAAGGCTTGGAATCAGAAGAAAGAGATTCCTTTAAGGGGATACGGCCAGGTGTCTAAAAAACCACACCAGACCCTGGCCTGTCACCCAGGGGAGGGTACCACCAGTTCTGAATAAACCTGCTCAAAGAACTGACTCGACAGATCTTAGGTAGCAACACCCTGCTCAGAAATGTATCAACAGAGATACATTAGTTGAGTGGAGCCCAAGGCAAGAACCCGGGCCTAAGCCAACTCAGAGAAAGGGATCGAGGCTGACAGTGCGAAACCCTTACCATACAGGATTTTAGAAAGTGCACAGAATGCTTAGCGTGCACACTTACCACAATGTGGATTTTAGAAAGTGCACAGAGCTTAGCGTGTGCACTTACCATAGCATGGATTTAGTGATAGCATAGCGTTCATTAAAAGTGAACCTAAAACGTTCGTTGCAAATGGGGTTCTTCGGGAGCAGCGTTCTCGGCTCTCAAGCTGAGGCGGGCCCTTACAGCACATACTGGGAGCGACTCATAGCTAACCTCAGCTCGACCAGAAGTGGGTGCTAGATTAGAAGGGGTAACCCAGCAGGGCCCAATAAGAGACATTCCACTGGAGCAGCTGGACACGCTCTCATGCTCTCGATAGAGAGCGTGGGTCCCGTATAACCAGACCCAATAGAATCTGAAGAAATAGCGGGACCCAATAACCATTCATGCGTATAGAGCTTACTGCTCCTCAGAGCAGAAAGCACGAAAGAGGGGTTTCCACAGAAACACAAATCCCTCTTACCTCAGGGAACGCAGTGCACTCCAGCCCACTCCGCAGAGGGGTGATTACTGGTTCAACCATAAGGGCAGTGTGAGAGTAAGGACCCACGGGCCCAACCGTCTATGGAGTGTTGAGATCCTCAACGCCTCAGCAAGAGGAGCTCTAGCTCAGAGAACGTGCATGAAGGTTAAGGAACGACTCAAATCTCGGAAGACCGCCCAGAGGATAGGGAGCATGTCACGAAGCATGTACTCAGAAGAGTACTAGCCCACGACAAGGACCCGCAGGTCCTGAGGTTGCAGCATTATACTGGGGACCTGATGCTGGGAGGCTTCCTCAGAAACCCAGGCTGCGTGTCCAAGCCAAAGATGAGGGCTATCACCAGCCTGGATCCAGAACCGATGAGTGAAACCATCACTGTAATCGGTCAACAGCAGGAGGTCCTGACTTAGCAGGTGGGTCAAACTTAAAAGTCAGAAAACAGAACAGGTCTGAGTAGCGCTGCAGAGAAAGGCTAGCATCGAATACACAAGAACTAGCAGTAGAGTAGATGAACATGGATCATACTCACCAACCATGGCTTCCGCACATGCCTCAGGCTCATGGATATAGGCTGGAGGCTAAGTCCGAAGCCTGGACCTTCATGGAATGAAGGATTTAAAGGCAGCCGAGGGCGTCTTGGCCTCCTTAAACTTCACAATAACCGTCTCAACGGAAGTGCCGAAAAGCTCAGAAGGGGAAACCGGCGCATCAAGAAGAAAGCCCTTCTCTTTCGACCGGATAACCACCTCACTCACCCACAGATGTCTCTCCGTAACCACCATGCTTAGTGGCACGGAGAGCAAGATCCGTGGTACGACGCAACTCAGCCACCTCATCAGGAGATTGCCTTTATCCACTTTCAGCAGATCAGCCTGATAAGCCTGAAGCACCGCCATGGTGTGCAACGAGGCTGCAGCCTGACCTGCTGCCGCGTATGCCCTGCTATTCAAATGAGACGTATCCTGAAGGGGTTTGGACGGCAGGGAGGGAGCCTTAAGAGAAGATATCTCCCCCATAGAGAGATAGCAGGCCAGCGTCTCTTCAACAAGGGGCATCTTTTCATAACCATTCTCACGCATACGTGGGGCAGGAGGGGTTAAATTCAAGCTGGAGTGCAGTATAATGTGGTTATCTGAGAAGGACATGATATATAGTCCAACAACTGCAGACAGATCCACACTATACATTTCCTATAAACAAAAGGAATGGTCCTTTCCATGTTCTCACCGCGACCACAACGCGCAGCATGCATTCAGCTCCCGCCCAAACGCTAGATTACCTCAGAAATCAAGCGAGAATGGAAACCGCTGCCGCGAATGCGTCACTATTCCCGCGAGAGGCGAATGCACACATGCAAACGCTATCTACCAACTCGGGTAAATGGTGAAGTACTCACCTCCCCCTCAGTAGTCCCGCGAATGCATCACGATGAGCACAAGCCGTCTCCTCGTGAGACGAGCGCATACAATTCATGCTTATCCCTCACAAGAAATAAGCAACGAATGCAGAATGCATCCAACTCCCTCAAGAGCTGAACGCGCTTGCTCTTCACCACACACACACACACAGCATGCGAGCCGTGTAAAACTGCAGGTATCAGAGCAAAGCCTCTGGCGAGAGAACATGCACTCCTAGTCGTGTTTAGCTGAACACTAACATAAACAAACGGTCAGTGAAGACGAAGAAGAGAATGACGTGTAATCCCGGCACCCTTTTATACTGTATTGCGCAGGGTAATGACGTCATAGGCTGTCGCCGGCCAATGTCATTGTCGTTTTTAGATATATACTTCAGACACTGATCACACTGAAGGCGTTCCCCATAGCGACCCTAGAGGACGCAGTTCGAAGTTTGCTCGGAAGGGAAGCCCTCCAGTATCACACAAAGGAATTCTCCATGGAGGAAGGGGCAAGAATGCCTCCTAGTCAATGTAAGAGACTGATAGACAATTATAAGAAACGCTACAGAAGAGGTAATTTCTCCCAATGTCGACCAGTTAGTAAACATAGGGGTGTACTTATTCCACAGAAGACTCAGGGGCGTGCATGCCAAGCACCAAGGCGAGCACTAAGTACCAACTCTACCATAGCCATGGGAGTCATCCCTTGGATGCATCAGCGGCTGTCAGTGACACTAGCCCCTTCGGTCAAAGGCCTGAGCTACACACCCAAAATAACTTACCTGTTAAGGGCTGGGCAAAGAGAACCCGGTCCCAGGGCAGAGCTCAAAGGCTTGGAATCAAATAGCAAAGTGATTCCTTTAAGGGGATATGGCCAACCGTCTAGGTTTCACCATATTACCAGACCCTGGCCTGTCAAATAGGGGGACTAATACATCTACCCCTAATTCTCCCAGGGGGACTCCTCGTAGAATCTCTCTCACCAGATTCCTCGAGCTGGTAGCAAATACCCCCGCAGTCAGATGGGAGATTTTAATGGTATCACTAAAGATACATATGAAGAGTGGGGCCCAAGGCGAGAACCAGGACCTGAACATCTCTGAGAAAGGGTATGATGCTGGCAGCAAGAAACCCTCACCGTAAAATTTTGACAGGCCTTACCATAGATATGGATTTTAGAAAGCACTCAGTGCCATTGTGGAGGCCATAAAGAGGCCTAGTGACCTGTATGCCTGTCTTATGGAGCTTCTTTGCACCTAGGACCTCTACTCCTGGATTAAGAAAAAGACTCACATACTTGACCCTTGTGCATAACAGCTCCTGAGAGCAACATGCTCAAGATGACCCATCAAGCCACGGAGGGGCACTATTGCTAACAGTCCAACAGGGGGCCTAAATGAAGGAATAGCAACCTGGTATGACTGCTTCACAGGCTCAAGGGAGCAGAGTACTCAACTCTCAGAGTGAGAGGAGAACTCATATGCTTGGAGATGCGCATGATGGGGCACCAGAAGTGGCGTACTCATAGGAGACTAGGGCTGGGTATCGTTCAAAAGTTTTTGATACCGATACCGATATCGTTCGGCTTCGATACCGGTTCTTGACTTCAATACCGGTTCCTGAATGATACTTTTTTCGATACCACTTTTATGAAATGGTTGGTTTTGTTTTTCAGCTTGTTGATGTTTATACAGACTCAAAGACTCATCTCCTGAGCCACTGCACAAAGGAACAAAATGTAACCAACACAAATCAGTGCACATAGTTTTAATACAGCTCAAATAGTCTTCAGTTTACACATCTGTTAGGCTACATTTACACTAGTGCGTGTTCGTTTTAAAACGCATAGCTCAGACAGAATCATCATTTCCATTCATTTTCCACTGATTTACTGATGAGAATTAGCAGCTTCCAGCACTGTCTGCCACATCTCTGAGTGTAGCCAGTGTGAACTAGTAGGTGTGTTCGACTTGGCGCGGACCGACTGTGCAGACCGATCGGTGTATTACAGTACCATGAGAGCTATAGAGAGCAGACTCCTCCGTGTGCTTTCGAATCGCTCTTGCTGATGTCAAACACTGATGAATCTGCGCCGCTCCACTTCTAGTCGAACACACCGGCTAGTGCTGCAGGCTTATTGGCTCACTGACGCTGATAAGATTAACCCCTTAGGTATCGAAATTTGGTACCGAACGACGAGACGTTTTTCGATACTGGATGGTATAGAGACAATTCAGTCGGTGCCTAAAAAGTATCGAACTCGATACCCAGCCCTATAGGAGACCCTTCAATTGAGGGGAGCACCGCAAACTCAACCATAAAGGCAGTCACATAATGGGAGCTCCGGGGATCAGCATGCTCATAAGTGACCCTGTAATGATGGGTGCATTGCCAGGCTCAAACACTGAGGCAGCCGTCAGGGAGGCTAGAGGAAAAGGCTCAATTAACCTGGTATGGGTGCCTCATGAAGCTCAAGGGAGTGGAGTACTCAACTTTCAAAAATCAGAGGGAAACTCAAACACTCACCTTGGGAGCAGCATGCTCATAGGCGACCCTCTAGAGCAGTGTTACTCATAGTGCAGCTCGCGAGCCTCATGCGGCTCGCCAAGCTTTAGTTTGTGGCTCGCATGGCAGTAAATAATACAATGATATGATCATGCAGTGAATACAGATATTTCATAAAAACATTAAAAACAAGCAGGGCTATAACATAACCCATTAAAAAAACTCACACCATGTCTACACCGGACACGAGTGGCGTGATCAGACAAAAGACAATAGAACCCAGTGATGTTGTCTACACTGGATGCTGCGCGATGCGACACGATCCCCATCAGTAAACTGAAGCCTCGTTCTATTTATGACGAACTGTCACTACGTTCAGATGATTTGCAACTGTTGCTTTGTCGCGTCAAGTGTAGACAGACTTTTAGCGCAGCGGGGCGCGGCACGACAACT